GTCGCATCTGCTCTGTCGCTCACAATGATATGGCGTATGTCCAATTGTCTCGTAAATATTCAGACTCGGTTTTTCCATGAAACACGTGAAAAGCAGTTCTTTGGCAAAAAAAAAAAAAAAAAAAAAAATTCACGTTCGACAAATTATTGTCCAAAAAACGATTATCACACATACATACACACACACACACAGATGACAAAGTGTGATTTGTACGTCACATTCATGTGATACGCAAGTTCTGATTGGTTTAACAGGAGCAACATATTTTCTAAACGAGCGACTATTGAACGTTTATCCTTAACCTACATTCAGTTCAATTTTCTTGATTATTTCTATTTCCTCGTTTTCTTTATTTTTTGGAAATATTTCTCTCTATTTTATGGGTTTAATTATTACTTAATTTTTAGGCATTTATAGTTAGAGGTTATGTTTGCTTTTTGATCTTTAACCTAAATTTTCAGATTATGGATCTAATCATACTGTAGTATATTTTATACTCTGTAGTAAAAATAATCTAAGCCTAAGATTTGAGGTTATGTTCACTGTTTGACTTGTATTTTGAGGTCATATTATATCGTACGGGCCAACGCAGAATGAAACCTCTAATCGTAAATCTTAAGCTTTTACATGAGAGAGAAAAGGACAAAATATATTTCTCTCCTTTTCTCTCTCATGTAAAAGCTTAAGGCCAGGTCCAAGTCGTGTCAGCTGTTCCATTCAAACTTCAATAGAACAGCTGACTCGACTTGGACCTGGCCTTAAGGATTTATGATTTACAAATTTACTTAACAAAATTATCTTATGTATCGAATTTTTATTATACAGAATTCTTAAAATGGCCGAATTTTTATTTATCCAAAATTGCAAATGTCCAAACAAACAATCGACAGAAAGATTTTACCGAGATTTTTAAAATCCACCAATCACGATTTTTTTTTTTGACCAACTTTTGATTGGTGAATTTTAAAAATCGCGCCAAAATCGATTGTTTGTTGGGCCCATTTTGCAATTTCGGAGTTATTTTGACATATATTTAATTACTTTTTTTTTGTACAAAATAAATATGTCAGAATAAGTAAGTTAATAAATGAAGATAAAAATATGAATTCCATACTATATAGATTATTAATAATCGTTAAAATATAAACAATACTAATTTCATTTTCCACAAATACATTTTGCTTTTTAATTAAAAAGGCAGTTTAATCGGAGTAAATCAATTGGCAATTACTGCTAATGCATTCTTGATAAATTTAATTTTGTTGTTATATATATATATATATATATATATATATTCAATCTTTTATTTGCTGCCTCATATTTAATTATTAGCCCAGATTTGATTCCAACATTCATCAGAAATTTTCATTTATCAATATTAATGATTATCAATAAATTTTAATTGAAATTATTTAAAAATTTATAATTGTCTAATATATCTTTCACGTCTTTAGTGAATCGAATCCTATATCTATTCATAAAATTTGAGGTTATGATCTCTCTTGGAGGCGTGGTTTATGCTTTTGACCTTCTCTAAGTTAGTTCCATTTTTCGCCACTAAGATATAAGGGATTCTGATTGGTGGACGTGAACTTCTGTCAATAGTTCAAAAAGTCTCACCAGATGGCGTATCACAGTAGAAGGGATCCCAATAGATAATTTAGGAGAAATTATTTCACTAACTTTTTTAGTATTTTAAATGAAGTTTAATAATATTGTATCTATATTATTAGTATAAATTTTATTATTTTTTTTTTTTTAGTATTCCTATAGGGACATTAAAATTGTGTTATAAAGTAGTTGGAAAATAATCTTTCCACAGGTGTGAGAGTCGACCCTCCCAAGAGTGACCTCTATTTAACCGTCGGTATAAGAAAGTTAGATAGCTTACGCAAGGATACAAGTAAATAACAAGCAAGAAGAGATATAGTTGTGCGGCGGGAGACTGTAATTAAAACCCGTTGGTATTTACTCGGGGGTAATGAAGGGGCAAACACACTGTTTGTCTCCGTTAGTCGTATCTTGCTACCTTATTTCTTCTACCTTTAACATGCCTCCCCTAAATATTCTCTTAACCACAATTTCTATATCGAACAATATATATATATATATTCCGTTATATTTTATAATTAAATTAAATTTATAAAAAAAAATAATAATTTGATGATAAAATTTATAATTTTTATAAAATGCAAATTTTTATTAAAAACAAATAAAGATTTTTTAAACAAAATCTATTATAAAGTGTCAGAATAGTATATACTTTCAGATGCTGTAACGATTTTTTTTGAAAAAATGGAACATTTTGAAAAGGTTACATAACCTCAAATATGGTTTTAAAAAAACGTCTTTTTGCACTTTTAGATTAAAATATCTCAAAAATCTGATGTTATTGGTCAATTCTGAGGTTAGATTCGGATTTAGCAAGTGTTAAAATATTTCGGAAGCATTTTGACGAATCCGAATCTACCAAAAAAAAAAAAAAATTGACACAGCATATTAGGGCGCGCTCACACCTTTTGGCTGCCTGCCTGCCTGCAGGAGTTGTCATGGCAACGTGTAGGAGTAACAGAGAGAGTAAATTCAAATTTGAATTTTCTCTCTCTCTGTTACTCCTACACGTTGCCATGACAACTCCTGCAGGCAGGCAGGCAGCCAAAAGGTGTGAGCGCGCCCTTAGATGTTTTTGACTTTATTTGATGCTGTAACGAACTTTTTGAAAAAATGTAACATTTTGAAAAGGTTACATAACCTCAAATATGGTTTTAAAAACGTCTTATTAACACTTTTAGGTTAGAATATCTCAAAAACCATACATACTGTGTTAAATCTGCACACTAAAAAATAATACATACTTTCAGTTTACTTTTGATTAAAACCGTTATAATATTAGAACCATATATTTTTACTGAATTTCAGCCTTGAATGTATGATTTTAAGTCGTAAAATTCACTTAATCTAGTTTTAAGATAAAAATTACGCTAGTTTCCAGACATTTTGATTTTAAGGTATTAACGGTTTCAGTATTTGTTTTAAGTGTGTGAATTTAGATTCAGATTTAGCACGTCAAAATGTTTCAGAAATATATAATAATGATTTTTATTCTCCAGACCCCTTAAAATTTTTTTTTTAAATCTTACTCTTTTTTTTAAACAAAAAAAGTGTAATTAAAAAAAAAAAATTGTAGGGGGTCCGGAACATAAAAATCATCCTGTATATGTTAGGTAAAATTTATTTAGATCAGATTACTCTTTTTCAGTTTGTTTTTTTTTGTTTTTTTTTTTTTTGTGGGTATTGTTAAACAGTGGCTAGTTCTCATGAAAGGAATCAAAATTCCGTGCTTTCGTTCTATACTTCTATATACATGTATATATAAATGCACGATTTACACGGTAGACGCTATTTGAATTTCAGCTGACGAGAGAGGTACATTTGAAAGCATCCTCTCCAATCCATCCCCATACTCCAAACTACCCCATACCAAATCCTCATTGCACTATTCGAACATGCGTTGGTATATTTCTCTTCATAAAATAGCCAAGCTACCATTGTAATAGCCTGGTATTAATTTATAAGCACATATATCGAACATCTATGTGCTGATAATAATAATAATAATAATAATAATAATAATATAATTAATTACTAATGTAGTAGATTAATATTATTTTACAGAAAAAGCATATTTTATTATGTTATAAAAATAATAGTATAATAATAATTATTATTTATATTATTAATTTTATTATTATTTTTATTATAAATATTTCGTCAACTGTACACTGAGAAAAAAAAATTTAGTGTTTGCAACAAAATTGCTTGGTTAGGCAATTTTGGTTCTTGTAATCAAATTTTGGTTGGCTGAAACAAAGTCGTAGAGTTATTTCAATTAAACATTTGGTTAGGCCAAGAAAATTATTTGGTTGAACATTTTTAAATTCCAATCAAAATTTGGTTATTCTAACCAAAATTTGGTTATTTCAACCAAACATTTGGTTAGGCCAACAAAATTATTTGGTTGAACATTTTTAAATTCCAATCAAAATTTGGTTATTTCAACCAAAATTTGGTTATTTCAACCAAACATTTGGTTAGGCCAACAAAATTATTTGGTTGAACATTTTTAAATTCCAACCAAAATTTGGTTATTTCAACCAAACATTTGGTTAGGCCAACAAAATTATTTGGTTGAACATTTTTAAATTCCAACCAAAATTTGGTTATGACAACAAAATAATTTGGTTAATACAACAAAATAGTTTGGTCTAAACAAACCAAATGATCGTTTGTTGTTCTAACCAAAATTTGGTTGTGACAACCAAATAATTTGATTCGCTCTCAGATCATAACTTAAGAGAACAGTTAATTTAAATCTCTCACAAGGATGGGTAGTCCAGTGTTCAGAGCTCCGGACCTTCAGTTTTAAAATAGAGGTTCGATCCCAGGCGGAGATGAGATTTTTCAAAGTCCACAAATATTTCAATTGGCTAAATATAAATTAAACGTTAAATTGAATAATAAATAAATAATGAAATAAATAAAAAAGATTAAAAAAAAACATAAATAAGGTAGAATAAAATTTTTAATTTTACAAAAAAAATTTGTTTGACCAACCAAACATTTTTGGTGACGTAACAAAAAAAAATTTGGTTGAGCTAACCAAACATTTTTGTTATGCCAACAAAAAACACTGAACCAAATTTTTTGGTTGACTCAAAAAAATTGTTTTGGTTGCTTAAATATCAACAAAATTTTTTTTGTTGGCCCAACAAAATTTTGGTTGCTCTGACTAAACATTTTTCTCAGTTATATTAAAGTATTTGTAATATTTAATTACTTTTTTTTTTTTTTTAATTCAAATTTATACAAAATTTATTTACAGAATTTTGTTTTTCATTATATTTGATTTTTTTGAATTTATTAAATTCTTTTTATTTTATAAATAAAATTTTATAAATTTTTTCTATATTTATTTTATACATTTTAATAGTATTTTTTTTTTTTTAGTGACAGTGTTCGGTAATATCGACTATAACAGATTTTTTCCAACCAAATAGAAAGAAACCAATTGATATTCCAAAAATAATAGCAAGACATAGCCAAATGTTGTAGGTCATAAAAATTAGCATCAGTAAATAAGAGAGTGAAACTTGTATAATATGAAGAGATGTCTGATACATGTGCATCCAAGACATCATTGTTAATCTATATTAAAATAAATAAATTTATTATTATTATTATTTTTCATTATTATTATTATTATTAATTTTACATTGCATATATTTAAATGTAATTAAATAATATGAAATTTGTACCTTACGATTTGATTATTATCAGATATTATAGTGTTCCCCCGAGACATTCCTCTGCAATTTGGTCCATTGCAAGTTCTCATAAATATGTACTCTCTATAATATTTAAGACCCTCGTAGAGTGTTGCCATTATAATAACTCCTACAATTGACATTATAAGGTCATCGATAGTAGAAATTTGCCAAAAATTAAATAAAACCGTCTCATAATGACCGCCATGAAAAAACATCTAAAATCAAAAATTTTATTTATTATTTTGTTATTTATAAAATAAAAGAAAAAAAAATTTAGTCATTTTGATTTTTTTCTATATGAATTATTATTATTATTATAATTAGTATTGTTATTATTATTATTATTATTATTATTATTGTTAATAATAATTATTTAATAATATTTATTTAATTAATTGAAATGAAAAAATATAATTATATAATTATTACCATAAATAAAAATTAATTGCAATGATTATTAAAATTATAAAAAAAAATTATTTATTAATTTTTAGTAAAACAAAAATTTATCATCATACCGACATTGTGTATATTGAATGATTCATTGATTTTATATTTCCTTGATCATTATAATTCACATTAAATTCATGATTAGAATGTGAATGCCGTTTATTATAAATACGATTGTCATTCATCTGTGAAAATTCAAAATTATAAAGATTAAAATAACGTTGTTAATATATTTTTATCTTTTTCTTTGTTGTTAAATTCTATTAGGTTAAATGTTACAAATAATTATATAGGTGCTTACTTTATTTAATTAATGGTTTATTAGAGGAAGGGGGGGGGGGGGAATAAAAAAAATTTTTCGATAAATTTTTTGAAAATATATATATATTAGAATTATTTAGAATACTAACCTTTCATTTTGTGACTTATAAACAATAATCACACAGAATTTTATCTGAAGTTGGTTACACTTTTTTTTTCTTTTGTCAATTTTTTACATTTTACAAGTTTTTTTTTTTTTTTTTTTCGAAAAAATTACATTTTTATCTAACGTAAAATTTCGGTAAAGAAATCATGTCTTAAAAACATTGCAGCAAAATTTTTTTTTTTTAGTAATCTGAGAAAATTTTGGTTTTTTTAATTACATAGGTTTACAAGGTGTGTTTTTTTTTTATATTAGAGAGGTTTTCAATGTATTTTTGTGTGCTGAACACGATTCTGGGTTTCAAAATTGCGTATCACGTCAGGATTTTGGGATAAAGTCTCTCCAAAAATTGGATTTTTGAGGGTTTTCAGTATTAATTTTTCCTCCTGACGTGATAGAAACTTCTATATAAGCGTAAATTAAAGCTAAAATCGTACACTTTAAGACTCATATGCGCAAGATAAAAAAAATTTGAAATTTTGAAAAAAAAAGGTTCAAGGCACCTAAAAAGTTGTCTTTAACCCCATTTTTTTTTAATTTCAAAATATTTTTTTATCTTACCCAATAGGGTCTTAAAATGTACGATTTAAGCTTTAACCCATTAACGACCGCCAGGACGAAAAATTTACCTTCACTTAGCAGCTGTTATTTTATATGAAAAAATAATTTAAAAAATTCAGGATAGCCCATTTCTAACGTAAAATTTATCGCTCTTTTCGATTCTGAAGTCCAAATTTAATTATAATTAAATCCTTAATATTTATAACAATTTTATTGCAAAAAAAACATGATTTTCTGCAAAAAAATTTTTATTCAAAAAATATTTTGACATGGAAAACGACAGTTAATTTGCTCCTGAACCCAAAATATCGCGTCCTCGAATACCCAGCTACAAAACTATATAATTGCGAATTACAAAATTTAAGATGGCGGACGACAAAATGGCGATTTTTCACTAAAAAAAAATTTAAAAAATACTATTTTGCAAAAAATAATATATTGATGAATTATTTTTATTTCTGCACCATATACTTATGTTTTTTGGGTCACTAAACACGAATACGGTATAAGTTTTCAAAAATTCAAAATGGCGGATCTAATATGGCGGACAATTTTTTTAAAAACTCAATGGATTTATCTGAAATTTGTTACTCGGGGGTTTTTGTGGTCGCCGGTTACGAATCTGAAGTTACTTTTCAATAATTCAACATGGCGGATCCGAAATAGTCTACAAATTTTAAAATTCTCCGAATTTGCTTGAAAATCAATACTTATTGAGTTTTTAGGGTGGTTGATTTCGAATTACTTCTTTTTATATTGAAATCGAACACATTTTTTATTACTGATCTACTATTTTATTACTGTGTGACAATAAAATTTCACCATTTTTACCGTCAAAGGAGTACTGAAATAATCAAATTGTTTAACATTTTTTATAAAAATTTACGTTAGAAATGGGCTATCCTGAATTTTTTAAATTATTTTTTCATCTAAAATAACAGCTGCTAAGTGAAGGTAAATTTTTCGTCCTGGCGGTTGTTAATGGGTAAATTTGAGCCTATATAGAAGTCTCTAGCACGTCGGGTTAAGGAGAAAAAAAATACTAATATCCCTTACCTTAAAAAAAGACGGTTTTTGGGGTTTTTACCCTCATTTTTGTTACAACTAAAAAAAATTTTCGATGCCTTTTTTATATATTCAAAAATTAAAAATTTATTTTTCAATGACCTTGCTAAGACTAACACCTTGGTGAAATCATATATATAGCGAGTAGAAGGAAAATTTATTTTTCGGTTTTTTTTTTTTTTGTATTGTGTGAAAAGGATGGAGAGAGGGCGCGAAACATTCTATATGCCATCCAGAAATGATGGGGTAAAGTTCAGGAAGGTAAGAGCGGGAGCAGGCTTGTGTGTGGCAGCCATATGTGAAATATTAGCAAACAGATATTGGATATCGATCGTCATGGTTTTCGTTCTTTAGGTTCGCTGGTTATCTTGAGGAAATAGAAAATATGAACTTCAAGAGGGTATATATATATGCCATTTCAAGGAGCGAAGCTACACTAAAGCTAAACCTCATTGCAATAGAACCTTAAAAAGTTTGTAATAACCATCCCTAGAAAATCCTCTAAGACTCACGTCTTCAATTCTTCCTTTAGGACAACAACAAACTCCATAAACCTATACATATATATATATATATATATTCGTCTACCAAACTTGGTACTGTCGTTCAATGTGCACTCACATTGTACCGTTAGCCGAAGAGAAAACGAAAATTTATCGTGAAAAGTTTTTTTCAAGTCGCTCGCAAAAGCTGAACACTCGAGGCAAACTTCATCCACATTCAATATATATATATAGGAGGGGTGTATAACTGCTTGCTTTTTTCAAAAAAAAAAGTTCAGATTAACGGACAAACACGGACCATTACCCTGAAAATTGTTTTGGAAAAAAATATGCCCTCGAAATATTGAAGAAAATTTTAAAGGGTCATCGTCATTTTTTTGTTTAGTTTATCTATAACTACTGAATGGTATTTTTTTTATAATTTAAACGACAATTATGTGGTCTATTTCTTACATCTACTTTGAAAGAGTATACTTCTTCTAAGTTTGCTGTTATGGAAGACCAAATATTTATTTAAAATAATTATAATCAAATAAAAAAATAGGTGGAACTATTACTAATTTTTAAAAAGTATTTAAAAATTTAGCCATAAAATAAGTTGGATTTGAAAACATTTTTTTTTTTTTTTTTTGAAGCACTCTGGATTGCTTTATATTGAAATAATCAGAATGTTTAGTATTAATTTGCGTCACCAGGATGTAAACAAAATGTATTTTGCATTATATTGGAAAGCACGTGTGTCGTTGATGTTCATACATGCGTGCAATGCATAATGTTATAGAGCTGCGGATTTAGGACGCAGAGAGCCAAAGGCTGTGAGTGCACTCATCAAGGGCTCCCAAGGCACCCTCGATCTCGTTGTAATACCCATCGCGGATTTACATACAGAAACGCTATACGTGTTCTTGGCAAATGACAACCGGCACGCGAGTCTTGTATGGTGACAAATTTCCCTTAGATTAACAGTCTTAAGGATCTATTATTAAAATTAGGTGGTTTTTTTCTTTTTTGATGGTATCATTTTGTAATGTATTTGATTCAATATAAGGTATCAAATTGATCCAAATATTGTTTATTTTATGTTCATCCAAGTTTAGGATTGAAACTCTATTGCATTGTGAACACAGCCTATAAACAGCTAAATATACACTTTCCGAAAAGTTGTACAAAATTTCAATCCTACTCAACCTTGCTTTCGACGAACATATTTTGGGTTTTTGCTACCCAACCCTGTCTGTTTAACATATATCATCTGGCAATTAATATTTATATTACTGTTTCAATGCAGATATCAAGAGATAGTGAATTCAAAAATTGGATTCTTTGACCAACACAAGAAGAATAAAAAAAAAGGTTTTCTGCAGTTCAGAAAAGACATTTAAATCTAAAAAGTTTATCGCACACACAATTGATTTAAAAATTAATGATTAATTTCAACCTCAGGGAATATTCTCTCTCGTTCTCCCCTACTATTATATTTTATTTTTTTTGTACAATATTATTCGTCAATTGAAACAACGTTCCAATGTAACAAATATCATATCGAACCGTCCATCCTCTTGTCACTTAAGACAAAAACCCTAAGAAATAATATTCTCTCCTGTCCTTCATTTTATCCCCAAAAGTTTTTCATATAAGAAAGTTACTTTTTTTTTTCTATATAGTCTTCACTTTTTCTAACACCCCCGCCCCTTCAACTATATATACTCGATGAGGATTTTTATTTTTCTCTTTGTTCAACGTTAAACGGACAATGAAGAAGGGGAAATAGATCCGCCCTGGCGTTGCACGAGTGTCAGCCTGAATAATACATGTTCTCGTCGAGAGAATATATATAGGGAGGGGGGGGGGGGGTTTGGTTGACATGGCCCACCATGTTTCCGTATACTATACGTGTTGCGATCCTTTTGCCATATTGCACTCCTAGTGTGTCCCTTTAAACGTATAGTATACAGACCGCTAGAGGGAAAGCACACACGGGAGAGGGATTATCTCATTTATTAACATTTTTTTCTTTATTTTTAACTATTTTGCATATGGACCATTCAATTTAGACGCAATTTTTTCGTCTAAAGTCCACTTTATGTATAATTATTCTTTGTATATTCTTTTTATCATCTCTAATATTGTTTCAAAAAAGCTTTTTTAATTTATTTTTTAATTGAAAATAAAATTAAGAGCAGTTTTTAATTTTGATAATTTTGAAAGCGGAGGATTTGATGTTTTATAGATGTATAGACACAGAAAAAAAAGGTGGGTAAAAAGTTGTAAAGATAGAGGATAAAAGTCGTTAGGATACAGGGTAAAGGATAAAATTTGAAAATTTTTTTATTATAATTCTCAAAATTTTTATACAATTTATTATCCTTTACTCTTATTGTTAATTTTAAATGGGACATATATTAGCTTGAATCTAAAAGTCATTATGTTTTATAAATAATTCATTACAATTTTTTCTATATTTATCTAAATTAACTTTAGTATGTGTCACTTAACAAAATCAAACAAAAAGAATAATAAAAAATATTTTAAAGCGATTTAAATTTATCATTCTTTTTAATTAAGAGAAAGGGAATAGTATTAAACAATCGTTAATTTACAAAAAGTAATTTCTCTTGTCTTTTATTAATACAATTTACATATTTATGTCAAATGGACATTCAAGAAAAAAAATTATTGTACAATAATTTAATCGTTCGACTAATGGTAGCGTCAGCAGGATTCATCTGAAAATTATTTTTATTCATAAATCAAGAGGTTATATATGTAATATTAAATATTAAAGGGATTTAAATATTTTAAAACCTTTTAGTTAAGGGGTCTACCCACTTTAGACGCGCTAAAATGAAGGCTGTTTTCAAGAATTTTTCTAATTGGTTTATATTATAAATATTGACATATAAGTTGTTAGACTAAAGAAATACACTTCCGAAATACATGAAAA